CGTGGGCACCAGGGCAAAGGCGCAGACACTGGATGTTACTCTCCTGCTGACCATCTGCGGGCTTTCACTATCACACCCGGTTCTGCACGGTGTTTAAGGCCACAGATAGACAGCCTATGGGCAGCAGGCCAAGAAGTCTAGCTATTCTGGTCCTGACCAGACAGGGGCCCACCAGTCTGTGCTGTACGGAGCACACAGGGCTCCACCAGATTATGTAACTTCATGTGCCAAAATCCATACACAATCTGAAAACATGCCATTTTTTTTCTGACATGACAGAACGCTCATCTCACATGACAGAATGCAAGCAGAGAGTAAACTTTTAAAAAACAAATATCATTTTCCTACTGATAGTATGATAATTCATGGGCATTAAAATCCTCAAAATGGTCATGGTGATGGAATACTTAGAAACCTTTCAAGATTTGATAAGGAAAAGACAGCTATTGGCCAGACCCATCGCACTAATTAGCCAATATCGTGGGAAGCATTGAGCATTCTAATAACCTTAGTCACTGAGCAGATCATTGTTTTCCCAAGTAGTGTCAAGTACTGCTTAGCTAGTTACAAAACCATCACTTCAGCATGCCTATCACATGACCTTCTCAACTGAGCAGATAATTGACCCTCTCTCTCTCAAACAGGGGCTCTTGGCATTTCTAGGCTGTCAACAAAGTTTCCAGGGGTGCACCCTGAACAAAAAAATGCTAAAGACATTTCATTGTATTTTTGTATTTTTCATAAATAAAGCTAATAATTAAAATGTTTGACATTTTATTTTCTACTTATTTTTCAAAAATTTATTCTGCTGATAAATGAGAGAATTATAACAGGAAGTGTTACATTTTCATTGCTCTTTTCATTAAACAGAAAATTGCTCACCCTATGTCAGTCCTTATTTTTATTTAATTTTACTGGCCTATAATGTCAGGGAGCCAAGTTACAAAATAACTGTTGCTGTTTCTTTTGTACACAATTCAGAAATATATTTCAAAATTAATTTTCTAAACTCAAAAATAAAAAGAATAGGCTAAAAGATGTAACAACTAAAAGATGGAAGTCAAACAGCATCATTTACAGGTTGTTTTAATATTTAAAAATAGCAAAGCTGTTGTGTGAAAAGTGTCTATAAAAATATAGGTGAAACAAAAGGTAAAACAAAAGCATCATGAGGCCCAGCCTGCTGGATGGCCTGAGATGTCACTGTGTGCCAAATGGCTGGTGTTTACTGAAAATGCACAAGCTGGTGCAACCTCGTTAGCATGTTACAGCGACTGGATTTCCACCCTGGCATTCCTTCAGAGGGGGCCTGCTGGCAGCTATATAGAAGCAGATTAATTCTCACTTTGTTTTTAATTTTAATTGTCACTAACTACACCTCCACCCTCTGACTTAGCATCTCAGTATTAACTTACAAGCATGAAACAAGAACTTAATCAAGGAATGTCTGGGGACTTATTTTCCAACAGCTGAGGTACTGAAGGTGAGGTCAGAGCAAACACTTGCTAGTGTGGGAGAGTAATGAGGTTCTGATGGAAGGTACAGAACTGCAGTGTTAGCCAAAGCTGCTCATTGCTGGTGCTTCATATCAGTTAATGAAAATATATGTATATTACACCACAGGAGTATATTGGATTGAGGGTTCTTGCTCAAGAATACAGACTGAGGCTCTCTTGTTAGCACTGTTGCTACCTTTGAAGCTGACAGGTGACTTGTTCCAGAATATGCTATTCCTTTTGTCTTTTCCTCCTCCTCCTCCTTCAACTATTACCTGCCTCTGCTATAAAGCCATGTTCAAGGGGCATGTTTGACCCAAGCAAAAAAGAATCCTCCTTCTGAATATCATGAATTACAGACCGTAAAGGGGTAATTATTTACTTATAAAAAGCCGTGAAATATCAACAAAAGAAAACAGGAGTCTGTTGAGAGACAAGATTAGTCCTAAGTCTCCTGCTATCCAGCTAGATAACTTTTTTTAAAAATATTTTCTTTCATATAATATTATGTACAGTTATATAATGTATTGATTATATATAGTTATACATATTAAAGCTAAAAATGTAGATTATACTCTACGTATCAAAGCTTGATGATTTTTTTGTGTGCTTTTTTGTTCCTTTTTTAAACATTTTTTATTGAGTTATACTCATTTTACAATGTTGTGTCAAATTCCAGTCTAGAGCACAATTTTTCAGTTATACATAAACATACATATACTCATTGTCACATTTTTTGCTGTGAGCTACCACAAAGATCTTGTGTATATTTCCCTGTGCTATACAGTATAATCTTGTTTATCTATTCTACATTTTGAAATCCCAGTCTGTCCCTTCCCACCCTCCACCCCCTTGGCAACCACAAGTTTGTATTCTATGTCTATGAGTCTGTTTCTATTTTGTATTTATGTTTGTCTGTTTTTTTAAGATTCAGCTGGATAACTTTAGACATGCTTCCATTTCCATTAATGGACAACGGTACCAATATTTGTCCTAGATTTCCCACAAGGTGATTGTGAGAAATGTATTTCTCTTTTACTATTATAATTTATTCATCTAAATTAAATGTTTATTAATATTTTAAAGTATGGAACTTCTAAACAGGAATTTTTTTCCCTTTAAAAAGTAGAATATTATCTCTTTTTAATTTGGGGGCTATAATCGATAGTTCTAATCAGATCTCTGCGTTATAAAGTCAAGGACCACTGAGGTCTAGATCAGTGAATTTTCAAGGACCAGCACATTATCTTCACTGGGAATGCGAATACATGGCCCTCATCCCAGAACTGCTGAGTCAATAATCTCTTGGGGTAGGGTCCACCCAGGAATCTGTATTTTTAACAAGCCCAACTAGTGATTCCAAAATCACACAAGCTTGGGAAGTGTGGGTCTAGACTGCCTACTGGCAGAGGACAGAGTATAGAGGCAGAGCCCTGACGGGATTAAATCCCACAGTCCCTAGATTGTAAACCAGATCTCTTTTAACTACACAAATGTAAAACATCCCTATTGTCTAGACCACAATTTGACTTTTACATTGGCTCTTTGGTTCTGTAAAGCGTTGCTGTTATGGAGACCATAAAGAAAAAACATTTTGTTTGCTTATTGTTATAGCTTTTACATATGTTATTTGTATGATTCCTCAAATAAAAGAAACACTTTAACCTTCTTGCAGGCATAACCCTAAACCATAACTTTCTAGGTTTAGTGCATTCTTACACAAAGTCAGAGGTCCCAGTTGCTATATTTGAATTTGAGAAAAGATTAAATGAAGGCAAGAAGAGACTCATGTTTCAAGCCTTCTGTTAACAAGATTCTAAGCCACTGAAGTAAATGGTGTAGCTATCCTTAAAAAAATGCCAAAATGAGATAATTTCATATGAACAAACATATCCTTATCTCAGCAAGCAGCTTGCAATGACTAAAACAATCTCTCTCTCCCTTTTTTCTTTTTTGCTAATGATCAGAAGCTCCTTTTTTTGCTTTGATTTTATATATATATATATATATATATATATATATATATATATATATATATATTTTTTTTTTTTTTATTGAAGCATAGTGAGTTTACAATGTTGTGTCAGTTTCTGGTGTACAGCATAATGTCCCAGTCATACAGGAACATACATGTATGTGTTTTCATATTGTTTTTCACTATAAGTTACCATAAGATATTGAATATGGTTCCTTGTGCTATACAGTATGAACTTACTGTTTACATATTTTATATATATTAGTTAGTATCTACAAATCTTGAACTCATAATTTATCCCTTCCCACCCTCCTCCCCCCAGTAACCATAAGTTTGTTTTCTATGTCTGTGAGTATGTTTATGTTTTGTAAATAAGTTCAATTGTCTTTTTTTTTTTTAGATTCCACATATAAGTGATATCATATGGTATTATTCTTTCTGGCTTACTTCACTTAGAATGACGTTCTCTAGGAGCATCCATGTTGCTGCAAATGGCATTATGTTGTCGGTTTTTATGGCTGAGTAGTATTCCATTGTATAAATATACCACAACTTCTTTATTCAGTCATCTACCAACGTACTGACAAGGGCTTAATTTCCAGAATATATATACAGCTCTTACAACTTAACAATAATAAAAAACAAACAACCCAATCCAAAAATGAGCAGAAGACATAAACAAGCAATTCTTCAATGAAGACAGACAAATGGCCAATAGGCACATGAAAAAATGCTCACTATCACTAATTATCAGAGAAATGCAAATCAAAACTACAATAAGGTATCACCTCACACCAGTCAGCATGGCCGTCATTTGAAAGTCCACAAATGATAAATGCTGGAGAGGGTGTGGAGAAAATGTAGCCCCCCTACACTGTTCATGTAAATGTAGTTTGGTGCAGCCATTATGGAAAACAGTATGGAGATTCCTGAAAATACACTTACCATATGATCCAGAAATCCCACTACTGGGCAGATATCTGGAGGGAACCTTAATTCAAAAAGATACATGCACCCCAGTGTTCACAGCAGCACTATTTACAATAGCTAGGACATGGAAACAACCTAAATCTCTCCCTCTTTTTATTGAAATGTTTTGAAGTGGAATTGACTGGGAAAATAAGCAAGAGTTCTGTTCCTCTTGGAGCCACTTGATCACTAAAAAGTGACCAACTTTTAGAATACATAGCTTTGGTGATGGTTTTAAATTATAGGTAAGCCCAAAATATTGCTTCCTTCTGCCCTAAAACTAGTCAGATAAGACTAGAGGAGCTGGAACCTGGGCCAGTGCCCTCATTGCCAACAGTCTTGTCTTGCAACTTCAGTATTCAGAATTAGTACTGTTGTTTTCTATATATGTATTACTATTTTAAAAATTCAAGAAGCACTGCAATAAAAAAAAAGAAGAAGATACCGGTTTCCTTTCTTCACTATTTCAAGAAAGTTGAAAAAAAAAGCCCCTAGGCTTTTTCTCTTCACTATCAAAAGTAAGAAATGAAGAAAACTATATATATATAGCATTTACCTACCTCAAGATGTTGACATTCTAAATTCCAATTTTCTTACTTCTTTAACTTCCCCTCATCATGCTGTCTTCTGTCATTGCAAGGCACACTATCAGAAACAAAATAGAAAAACAACTGCTTAAGGATTGATTATGTACTGGAGATTGTGTCTAATCAAATTGCTTAAATTCTTTTTCAAATAAAAATCATATTTACCAGGAACCTGACCTAAGTATTTTGAGGAGAATTTAAAAATTACAAATCAAATATCAAAATAGACATAAAATGATTATATAAATACTACATCATTCTAAGCATTCATAATATAATTCTCTCTTTCTAGAGTATTCAAGTGAAACACAAAGACACTACATAGCTCAATAATAAAAATAACTCAACACAAGAATAAAGAAATGGAGAAGGATGGACTCCAGTAAGACAATAACAAGTAAACATTTTTCAATCAATTTAATTATCAGCTTTTTTCACTGCACCAAATTACACCCTGGTATTTGGGCTTATAAAAAGTAAAATGGCCTAAAATCTACAATAATGGAACTCAGATGTGACTGGTTTGAAAAAGCCATGAGGAAACCAAATTATTTAGCAGAGGTAGAGAAAAAAAAAACAACACAACAATGTAATCAATAATATGAAGAGAGACTCTGGTTAGATCAATAGTGTATCATATTCAGGGCCAGCCCCTAAACAAAACCACAAGGAGGCCAAATTTGCCATTGCCCTTTTCCTGGCCCTTGGTGACTGCTGATCATCCAGGGACTTTACATGATGGTTCTCGCTGGATATCCATGTAGTAATCAGAACACTTTGTTAGCATGTGACAGAAAATCAACTCAAATAACCTTAAGAACAACAATTATTTCGGGGGGAGAGGGCCCAAAGAATAAACATACTAAGGGTAGAGTTAGTTTTAACATGGCTGATTTCAAGAGCTTACATGCATTTGTCATCCCTTTTACTTTGCCCCCATCTCAGCTCTGTTTTACCCTGAGTTGACTTTATTTTCACATAGGCTCTTCTGTCATGATGACAAGATGGCTTCCAGAAGCTCTAGGCTCTGTGTGACCTCTCAACAACTGTAACACAGACTCCTCATTCGGCTTCTTTTGCCCAACTGGCTGGTTATAAATTACACACTCACTGCTCAACAAATCACTGTGGCCACAAATGTCATGATTTTATTGAGCAAATCCATGTCAAGATTTCCCCTAGAACCAGGGGCTGTGAAACTCAACCAAATGAAGTAGGATAGGGGAGAGTTGTTATTTTTGTTGTTGTTTTCTGAAAATCAGGATGATTTTCATAAAAAAAAAAGAGGGGGAATAACAGCTAGACCAAAACAAGTGTCCACTAAAGCCTACCGTCTTGAAGAGTGATCCACAGTTCAATTCTTCCTTACCTCCCCACTTCTCAACAGAAGAAAGTCTTATATTTCATTCTCCACAATGTTCCCAAGGGAATAAACTTCTTCAAGTATAAACTGTACCATCATGGCTTCAATATCATAGCCTGGGATATTCAGGAATGATGGCGCGGGTCCCTTGGTCTTCCTCACTATCACCTCTGCTTGAGAACTCCCAGTGATGATGAGCACTAGTACCACTGAGTAGATGTACTTCAAATTTACTTTTCTATCTTGAGCTGGCATTTGTCCTTTGATGGGTTTTCCATTGGTTCTAATTTCTTCTTCTAGAGCTATCCAAATTATGTCCATCATATGTTCTAGATAGTAGATCTTCATATGTTTAAAGTCAGGTTTGTTCGACTGCTGTGCATATAATATGATTTCCAGGAATTTGACACCTAACTATTTCTTTATGTTCACTTTGTCTCCAACTATTATACTACTCTTTTTCTCCTGAACTTCATTTTGGTTGAACCTTAGATTGGAAGATTTTTTGATTGTTGCTGTTATTTATTTTGTTGGTTTGTTTCATTTATATAGTCTCTGAAAGTCAAGGAAGTAAAAGTTCAACCAACGTGAAGCAACAAATTCTCTTTATATCATTACTCACACCTAGAGCCTTCTTACCCTAGACAGCAACAGAAGCATACCAATTTCAGCTGTGGAACAAAAATATTCTCTATTCCTGTATCTTTTTCTCTCTTGTTTCATCTATCAGATTGTTTTGCTCCAAAACAAATAAACAAGTAATTTGAGTCTTATAGACAGTATACACTTTGTAATCTTGGAGTCCACAAAAAAATGTATTTATTGCAGCAAATGGTTGGATTCCTGCTTGTGTGCCATGGGAACTGAATTTCTGCCCTAATGTTTTGGCACATCTTCAGTATACTTACCTCTGTAGGAGTGGTGTGTATCCACAATTATGTTATTTGAAAAGAATCTTTGCACTGGAAAATCCCATTGAGATGTAGCATCGCGTTTCCAAGGGTGTCTTGGGACAAGAAAGAATGGGGCAGTAATGTACAACCACTTGGTTACATCATTCATACCAGAGAAATTATTATCCAACTGCTGACGGGGAACACTTGTACTTCTCTATTATCAAAGATTTTGCAGAACTGCTCAGCCCCTCTATTCATTTCATTCCAGCTGTTCTAACACAAGGAATGAAGCAGATTGTTTCATTCTCTAAGTGTACATCAAAAAGGATAATACCATCATTTGGGAGGAGAGGGGGCTTTTCAAGGGGTTTTTGCTCAATTCGGACTGTGTGTGGAGCAAGCTCACTGCCTTATAACAAAAGCATAAAACTCAGCAGTGACAGGCAAGTCAAAGGCTAAAGAATTCGTTAAAAGGAAGAAGCCTTAAATGTTCAGCCATAAACAACAAACGACATCAGAAAGGAAGCAGGGAAAAGGTAAAGGAGACCGTGAGAAGGAATGTGCCCTGGCTCAGCACTGCATCCTTTTATGATCCTTTGGGAAAACGCATTCGTAGGGCTCCAATGGCTCTTTCCTGAATTTGTCCTACATCAAAGAGCCACAAGCTTGTTCGTGCTTGAGCTTGTTTTTAGTACCTTTTAAGTGTGCATAGATTTAATATTTTCTATCAAAAAAACTCAAATTTGTTTTATGTCAATTGTCTGGTACTTTCTTGCCATATGAGCTTGAAGTATAAACCTTGCCCTCTCCTTAGCAATCTTCCATTTCTTCATATAGTATTCCTGCTTTATCTCACTTTCTGTATACACCACAAATATCTACCAGGCTTTCTTATTTTCCTTCATTCTTTTCACTTCCTACTCCTATTCTTCTTGAATGTCAAATATACAAGTACGTAACTTCCACTCCCTTTTTCCACACCAATGGTAGATGTTGCAAATTAATCATGGAAATCTTATGATATATGAATCATTTCCAATATGTATTCAAGAAGTTACCACCAAAAGAGAAGAACTGAAAAGTAAAATGAAATGTATTTTTGCATCCTTGATCAGGATGCAAACTTAAAGAGGGTGTGAAAACGTAAGAATCTAGAAAGCTACCAAAATACTTCTCTGAATTTTGTAAAGAATTTTGTAAATCTCTATACTTGGTCCAACAGTGATGGTAAAGTTGACTGCCCAAATCAAGATCATTGTAGAGGCAAAATTTTATGTTCAATTTGGCTCATCTTTTATTCCTCAAATATACACAGATTTAGTACTTGAGGATTCCTATTGATTTTTGAAAGTCGTTATTTTCATAGGAATAAAAAGCAAACAATTGTAAATTATGGAATATGGTATAGTGTCTGCATTTGCCTCCTTCCCCACCCCCACCCCCACCCTGAGCTCACATTCCATCGTCAAGACCTGAGCTGGTGTCAGCCTGGGGACTTGGTTTCACTTGTGAGAGGAGGAAGACACTGTTAGAAGCTGTTACTTCTATACAGAAAGTTCTCCTTGGGGGTGGCTTGCCTACGGGACCCATCTCATTCTACCCTCCACAATACTAATGGGGTCTGGGGTCTTCTTCCTTCTAATTAATAACAGACAAAAGCAATCCTTCAGGCTCACACATAATCAGGTTTAGTTCACAATGAATATACCGTATATAGCATTGGTTTCCATCTGAAATTACTAATAAGGATGTATTTTTCTAGCATTTTCTCTTTCTTTCATATACTCATTCATGCTGTGGAGATACATGGCTATATTCAAGGATTTAGTCATCCTGACATAGTCACAACAAATATGACAATGTTGTCACATTAAAGTGGGTGCTTACAAGGTACGTATGGGAGGACATGGGGGAGAAGTATGTGAAGGTCTTCATCCTGGCTGGAAACTGAGAGAAGTATCAGGCAGTAAAGTTAGGCAAAGAGGACAGCCAGTCCCCAAATAAATCCCTAGGGAAGGCTCTCGATTTTCTGAGTTGGGTTTCATGATTATAAATACAGTATTGGTGTGGATACTCTCTCTGACATATTAAATCCCCAGCCTAAAGTACCTAAGAACTCAGTCTGAGCTGCCTGGCTCTTGTTTCTAGATCAAACTGACTTACTCCTCCCGTTGTTTTCCTGCCAACAAAATCACCTCCTTAATATCTGTGGTCTGTGCTACACACACACACACACACACACACAAATTTTATTTAACAGAAACAAAAATTAATCTAAAACCTACCCAACTTTTCTTCAAATGATTATGAGTCACTTCTGGCTCCAATTTCTCGTGTTCCCTGAATTCTTCTTCACTGAATTGTTATTTCAGGCTCTACCTTTAAACCTGCCTTGGGCTTCTCAAAGCCCTTTCCTCCTAACCCCCTCCCACCTTACCAAAGTGCCCACAAGCACACTACTAATTTTGTATTGTTTTGCTATGTTTATGAAACTGTGGGTTTGTGAGCCACGGGGAAAGGGGTAATGTGTCAGCCAAGTACATTCAAGTCGCTTTTTAGACATTCCTGTCATTACATGCAATGGTGACCCCCTACCACTAGAAGAAGCTGTGCTGGGTTCTCAAGCAACCTGGTGAGACAACATCAGGATGAGGGGAAATGTCCTTTCTACTATTAGTAGGTAGGGGATCCAGCATATTCACATACACATTAACTACCAAAAACTGCAGTCTTTTCATGTCTATCTGGACCACTGCTGCTTGAGGGTGTGGTGAGCAGACCCACCTTCCCTTTTCCACT